AGAAGTTGGTTCAATTAAAAAAAAAAAAAAAAAAGATACTCCCTTGCAAAGCTGGTGTTTCTTATATTCAGGGACCAACATAGCTACACCACCACTCTTAATTTAAGTAATGAATGTCAAGGAAAATAGCTCAGCCATTTTTTTTTCCAGTTTAAAAAAAAAACCACTATTATTTTAATGTAAACTTTATAGTCCCTGAAATAGGGGGTTTCTAATGAAGGCACTGACAGTTAGAAACGTAAGTTATACTGACAAATAGTTCAGCTACAGTTTTCTACTTCATCTGTTACATTAAGATTTCCGAATTCCATACACCTGCATCATAAAACTTTTACACCAACAGTATTCTTCCTATAAGAACTCTTAATATTGACTAGATTTCTGTAGAAAGTTTGAAAAAAAGTTTATTCAAATCTGATCAGTTTCCAATTTCATGTACAAACGTAGGAAACCCACCGCTCTCAGGGCCTCATCCGCAGCCCATTAAAGTCAATGTGAGATCCCTCCCCCACCAATCAACTTCAATAGGCTTAGGATCAAACACTTATCCTCCTCCAAAACAGAAGACACATGTAGGGCCAAACGACTATTTCACTCGGAGCCCAAAGGGAACTTTTAGCTTTCCAGTCCATGCCTAGCCCCTTGGAGATCTGTGGCAAGTGAGTAGCATAAGACTGCCTTCTCTCCCCAATGTACAGCACACCTACGTATATACTCCATGTGAAGGAGGCATGGGGAAAGGAGTCCAGTCTGGTGAATGGGTACCCTAAGCTCCTGTCCTGATCAACTCTTCAGGGACAACTCTGAAGACCACTCTCACATCTAAAAGGCACACTCTCCACTCCTCCCATTGAGCAGTCTACTATAGACTTGGGCCTTATGAGAAATTAATTCTCTCCCTCCCCAGCAGGATACTACACTATAGTGTAGCACAGCATCTTGCTTACCATAGAAACAAGAAGTGCTTGAAGGAGCCCTTCAGCAACAGACAAGAAAACCAATTGCAAAAGTCCTTGCTCCCCAAGTCCCAAAAATGAAAGGAAAACCCATCTACCATGACAAGAAACAGGATTTGAGGTGGTAGAGGGAACAAGGACAGAGATGATTCTAGAGGATAGTTTAAAGTCTGGAATCTCTCTCTCCCCCATCTGTAAATATTTGAGAAAGGGAAGAAGAATTGCCCCATAGATAAAAGTAAAATTAATATGCTGCTATAAATAAGATTTCATATTTATAATTTGACATTTTATGAAAAAAATCTTAGATCATTAAGTTTTGTGAGTGCCTAGACATTGTGTGGACTAGCAGTCTATATGTATCCAGCATAGATAATATTGTATTGTAAGTATTACCATTTCTGAAAAAATTACAAAGTTCTTAAAAAAGAATTTAAAATGCATCATAGAAAAGGCACAACAGGTTCATATGCAAGTTAAGATATTCTCTTGTACGTAGCACTTCAAATGACTGCTTGTGTGTGTTCTAAAAGAAAATTCCACACCTAGTCTGTTGTACTAGTACCATTGCCCCAAAACACCATAGCAAAACCAGAAAGTGCCCCTTTACTGTGCACACTCCAACCTGTAATGAAAGCTGAGTTACGTGCTCGCTCTCTCAGGGAGAGACAGATTGGAATTTAGAGAAGGCCAAATAGTGCCACTCTGGATTAGAGAAAACACACAAATGAAGGGGAAATAGACAACAGTGATGCTCCAGGACCCAGCACAAAAATACATCACTCAAGTAAGAAAGGGAAACCCAGAGTAGCAGACATAACTTACAAAACAAAAAAACAAAACAAAAAACCCACTAGTTACTGCTATGCTAGGAATCACTCCAGAAGTCAGTTTGTAATTCTTTCCTGAAAACTAGATTCTGTAATTTACATCAAAAAGCTTTATTTCCATTACACTAATTACTTAATTTATCATCACTGGTTTTTCACAAGCCCTAAAGTCAATCTGAATTGTGCTAATGGCAAACACCTCCACTGTTCTCAGCGATAATGCTGAGATTGTCCACATTTGTGTACTGTATGTAATTTAAGGGGGGGGGGGGGGAAGATCACTTAACTGATCCTTGTCTATGTTAGACACTTGCTAAAAAATTCTCTATTCATACCTTTATGAAAGGACCCTCTACACAAGTTAATATGAGCCGTTCTAAAATGTTATTTAATTAGGGTGGAATTTTCAAGAATGCCTAAGTGATTTAGAAACACAGGGTAAAATTTTTGAAAGCAGTTCAGACTTCTTGAGTTCCTAAGTCACATAGATGATTTTTGGAAATCCCACCCTGAACAACTTTCAAGCTTTAGTTGGGTATTTCGGGGATAGCCTACTTGGATGGCTGGTCTTTTTCTAAAGAACATTTGAAAAAACAAACATTTTATTAAAATGTCAGAAAATGAATGAGCCACAATACATGCTGGATACAAGATAAAATATTTGACCAGTAGAGGGCACTAACCAAACTGCTTCAATATATTAGCCCATATTTAGAAGTGTTGGTCTACATACACACTTGCACTGATTTAACTAAATCTGTTCCCTAAAACAGTTTTAGTTGTTTAGGTACAAGTGTGAAAGTAGACCAGACTGAAGTGGATTTTATGTGGGCCTGAAGACTTTCACATAGATCATACATTCTAAGAACAAAAATACTTACATATGCTATTGAAAAGTAATTTTACAGAGATAAACATACTTGTGGTACCTTAGAGACTAACAAATTTATTTGAGCATAAGCTTTCGTGGGCTACAGCCCACTTCATCAGAATGGAACACACAGAAAGAAGACATTTATACATACAGAGAACATGAAAAGGTGGAAGTAGCCATGCCAACTGTAAGAGGCCAAACAATTGAGAAGTCTCTAAGGTGCCACAAGTACTCCTGTTCTTTTTGCGGATACAGACTAACACGGCTGCTACTCTGAAACTTTACAGAGATACTTATTTATTGCCTGTCAGCAGCAACATTATAAATATTTCCCCCCTCCCCCTCCCCCACCATCTTTCACAATACAGAAATGCTACAGGTGTTGTGGATACCTCCTTTAGCCACACTAATAATTTCAAACGTCTGAGTACTTATGGAAACAAACATTTAACTTTTTAACAAATGTAATATTTATTCTTCCAAGGAGAAGCAACCAATGAATGTTACAGCAACAACATTAATACAAAGTGGCAATGAGACGACAATGATACCATAACAGTAAAAATAATGCTATTGTCACTGTGCAAGTATCATCTACTAAAGCAAGGATGGGCAAACTATGGCCCGGGGGCCACATCCGGCCCTCCAGACGTTTTAATCTGACCCTCGAGCTCCAGCCGGGGAGAGGGGTCGGGGGCTTGCCCCATTCTGTGCGGCTCCTGGAAACAGCGGCATGTCCCTTCTTCGGCTCCTACACGTAGGGGCAGCCAGGGGGCTCCGCACGCTGCCCCCGCAGCTCCCATTGGCCCAGAGCCCCCTCCCACACCTTGAAATCCTCATTTCTGGCCCCACCCCAGAGCCCTCACCCCCTCCCACGCCACAACCCCCAATTTCATGAGCATTCATGGCCCGCCATACAATTTCCATACCCAGATGTGGCTCTCAGGCCAAAAAGTTTGCCCACCCCTGTACTAAAGCAAGGCAAATTTATAACCTATGTTCCTTCTCACTGTGTGTTTACAAACACCTAATATCTTTATGGCTATAGCTCTTTGACTTAGGCCCTGAACCCACAAATGGATCTGTGCAAACAGCACATTTAAGCAGCCCTATTCATTAGAATGGGGCTCTGCCCTTGCAGATCCAGTTGCAGGAAAGTAGAAGTGTCACATCCAATTGTAAGAACTTTCCTTGGGGTGCCACTTGCCATTCTAAATGATTCCTTGCCTACAACCTCAGCTATATGATTTATTTTTATTTTATGGTGCTGTGACCATGTAATCCGTTTGTCAGGTCCCCGTCCTAAAAGTCTTACAAACTAACAGACAAAAACAGTACCTAGGACATCCATTCAGACTAGTATTTATCAAAGTAATCTTTAGAGGAATGCTATTGTGATAAGTCAAAAGATGTTTATGGAGGTAAAAACTGCAGTTGTTTTCTTCAAAACATTACACCAATGATTTCCACAACTGTGGACTACAACATAATGTTGAGGTAATCCTGTGCAACTAGTTTGCAAGCTTCCTATAATACAAAGAAATTCCATTAGTCAAATCTTCTAAGAAGTTTACATCTTTTCTGGGGAACATTACACGTTAACAGTCTGAATGAATTTGGTGTTCCTCGAAGTACTAACACTATTATTGATGGATAGTAGTGGTAGGCATTGTAAACTTCCCCATGCAGTTCTGGCCACACACCACAATTTTTAATGTAGAACTTCCCTGTTATTTTAAGTCCTGGGCATCTAAACAATCCTCTGATTTTGCAGAAGCATGTGACGGTTTAATTATCAATTCAAGTAATGAGACTTGCAATTTCAGAGGTAAGTTTCTTTTATAAGAATTATGAGAAAAGTCTCAAATGCTATGCTAATTTTGTGCACTTCTCTCACTCTCAATTTCACACACACACACACACACACACACACACACACACACACACACACACACACACACACACACACACACACCCTAGTTTACTGGTCTCTCCTAAATGAGATCTAGTACCCAGAACCAATCTTCAGGTGATCAAAGTATATTTTCAGGATATTACCTTTTAATTTTGTAACACCACTGTGGAATGACAGTCCATTGAGCTTAGAATAGAACTTTGAATATCTGCTGGATATCTAAAATTTCTTTAAAACAAGCTATAAATATTGGTCACTATTATAGCATCATTTAAACAAAATACAAATCAAAAGGTTATAGAAAAGACATTCATAGAAAAATATAGCAATATAAGCCACAAAATCAACATCAGCATTTAAGAGAAAGCAATGTGCCTCTCTCATGTCAAAAGAACTTGTCACATTATTAAAATTAAATTGTTTACCTCTATTGTAGGATCATATTCATCCACAAAATGATTCTGAATTAGCTGTATTGTCAAGGCACTCTTGCCTACACCACCAGCTCCGACAACGACAAGTTTATATTCCGTCATTTTCAGCAGACCTGGTAACAAAGAAGTCAAGATTAAGCATGAGAGAGAGTCAGGTTTCAATTACATGTTAAGTCATCCCCTAGTTCCTTTACTGAGGTGTTTAACGAAAGGGAAAACCATTCTCTTGCTAGTGCGCACACACAAAAAAGCTTTTGAAAAGGCGATGCTATTTCTGAGTGTCAAAAGTTGTAAAAGATTTGGTGCAGATATTGTGCCACAAGTTACTGAACACAAACTGAAACTAAGAACTTTAATTGTGAAAACCATTATTCGGGAAAGTTGGAAAAAATCATTTTTTATAGGTTACAATATGCAATATTTTATTTGATATTCTGATCAGTTCTTTTCAGAAAATTTCAGAGATTTAGGACACTGTTCCCTCAAATCTTAAAGACTAAATTGGTGTAAACATTGTTAGATCAGAAACATGCATTTAAAAAAGACTGCAGAGCAAAGCTGCTATCATCAAGACCTCTCCATTTTGAGCAGTGACATAGCAAGTTGTTGGATATCAGGAGTTATGACTAAAATAATATAAAATAATCCATGAACCATTCAAAAGGCTAAAGCCTCAGAATGAAATTGATTATTAAAAATGGAGGGTCACAACTGATTCACTGGGAAGTTACAAAGTGGCTAAATACTACGAAGAGAGCAGCAAACTATATAAAGTTTTAATATTAAAATATGAACACAACCCTTTAAAACATTTTACTATCAAAAAAACTGAACACCAGGGCTCACCTGTCAGATTCACCTTCACAGATTTTTTTTTTCTGGGCAAGAGTAGTATACTATTATTATATATGGGACATCTAATGATATACTATTGTATGGTTGTCATAAATTACCAGAATACAGTCTTTGCCCATTATAGCCAATTCTGTTATATAAATAATGATATAGTAGCAAGTAAATTCTTGAACGAGATGCAAAGCCTGTCACGAGGAAAGTGACAGAACAGGACAGAAAAGCATGACAGCCAAAACTTTCTGTAACATCTTTGCTCCTCTGGCTCTTTACGTTCCTTACACTCAGGGCTGGGAATCCCACTATTTATTTGTGCGTACGGTGTTTATTTTGTGGGGGAGGGGTGGAATTTGACAGCATAATATTGTTGGGATCCAGTCGTGTGGGCTGGTGTTAGGCTCACGCTCAAGAGGTGGAAGGCGTTGGCCACCTGTCCTTCTAGCAGCACCTCCTCCTCCTCTCAGTGGCAGCAAAATCATTATCTGCCTGAAGAGGGGGGTGGGGCAGATAGGAGAGTCAGGAGACACAACCATGGGGCAGAGAGAGACAGGGAGGAGGCAGAGAAAGGAGGGGGACAAAGAAGAGGGCGTTTTGGGGAAGGCAATGAAAGCACAGAGGGGGCTATAGAGAGAAGCTGGGGAGAGTGGGGGAGGCAAGGAGGTTCAGGGTAAAGAGGTGTTAGAAGCTGGAGAGGGAGGTATAAAGAGGTGCTGGGGTATAGGGGAAGCTCAGTATGGTATAGAGTGGGGGGCCAGGAGTAGAGAAGGAGCAGGGTGTATTGGCTCTTGGGTGTGTAAAGGAGTGTGGATCAAGGGTCTAGAACAGAGGTGGGCAAACTACAGCCCGGAGGCTGCATTCGGCCCTTCAGATGTTTTAATCCGGCTCTTGAGCTCCAGCCGGGGAGTAGGGTCGGGGGCTTGCCTTGCTCTGCACATGCCGGGGCTCCATGTGGCTCCCAGAAGCAGCAGCATGTCCCTCCTTGGCTCCTATGTGTAGTGGCAGCCAGAGGGCTCCACATGCTACCCCTGCCCCAAGCGCTGCCCCCGCAGCTCCCATTGGCCGGGAACCATGAGCATTCATGGCCCGCCATACAATTTCCATACCCAGATGGACCCTCGGGCCAAAAAGTTTGCCCACCCCGGTCTAGAAGCCCTAGAGCAGAATAGGGGGCTGTAGGGGAGCAGGAAGCTAAAGATATGGATGGGTGTAGGAGCTCTCAGGGGATATACAGAGGTGCTGGGGCCAGGGGAGATAGGTTTGTACAATTTTTTGTGGTGCCCAGAACAGATCCAAGTCCCGCCCCCCCCCCTTCCCCCACACCACACACACACCTACCTAAGGCTGTGGGAGGGAGATCTCTGGGAGAGAGTTTGGGTGCGGGAAGGGTGCGGGCTCTGGGCTGGGGCAGCGGGTTGGGGTGCGGGAGGAGGTTTGGGGTGCAGGCTCTGGGCTGGGGTGCGGGCTCAGAGGGCGTTTGGGTGTAGGAGGGGGTTCGAGATTTGGAAGCCAGTTTGGGTGCAGGAGGGATGGGGGTCGGAGTCTGGGAGGGAGTTTGGGTGCGGGCTCTGGGCTGGGG